CTCTCTCTGGTCTCTCTCTCTGGTCTCTCTCTCTGGTCTCTCTCTGGTCTCTCTCTCTGGTCTCTCTCTCTGGTATCTCTCTCTGGTCTCTCTCTCTGGTCTCTCTCTCTGGTCTCTCTCTGGTCTCTCTCTCTGGTCTCTCTCTCTCCTCTGGTTCTCTCTGGTCTCTCTCTCTGGTCTCTCTCTTGGTCTCTCTCTGGTCTCTCTCTCTGGTCTCTCTGGCTCTCCCTCTCTGGTCTCTCTCTCTGGTCTCTCTCTCTGGCTCTCTCTCTGGCCTCTCTCTCTGGTCTCTCTCTCTGGTATCTCTCTCTGGTCTCTCTCTCTGGTCTCTCTCTCTGGTCTCTCTCTGGTCTCTCTCTCTGGTCTCTCTCTGGTCTCTCTCCTCTCTCTCTGGTCTCTCTTGTTCTCTGTCAGAGGTTCTGACAGGATCACAGACGCAGCTCGTTCGTTCGTGTGTGTGTTAATCGTGTGTGTTTTGTGCGGTTGTCGGTCGGAGGTGAAAGTCGTTGTGTAATTAGAGCTAAATGAAGACAGACTCTGGACTGTGTCAAAGAGTGAGGGTGTGTGTGTGTCAGACTCTCTCACTGCTGTCTCCTTTACCTTCAGACTCTCTCACTACTGTCTCCTTTACCTTCAGACTCTCTCACTACTGTCTCCTTTACCTTCAGACTCTCTCACTACTGTCTCCTTTACCTTCAGACTCTCTCACTACTGTCTCCTTTACCTTCAGACTCTCTCACTACTGTCTCCTTTACCCTCAGACTCTCTCACTACTGTCTCCTTTACCTTCAGACTCTCTCACTACTGTCTCCTTTACCTTCAGACTCTCTCACTGCTGTCTCCTTTACCTTCAGACTCTCTCACTGCTGTCTCCTTTACCTTCAGACTCTCTCACTACTGTCTCCTTTACCTTCAGACTCTCTCACTACTGTCTCCTTTACCTTCAGACTCTCTCTCACTACTGTCTCCTTTACCTTCAGACTCTCTCACTACTGTCTCCTTTACCTTCAGACTCTCTCACTACTGTCTCCTTTACCTTCAGACTCTCTCACTACTGTCTCCTTTACCTTCAGACTCTCTCACTAACCTTCAGACTCTCTCACTACTGTCTCCTTTACCTTCAGACTCTCTCACTACTGTCTCCTTTACCTTCAGACTCTCTCACTACTGTCTCCTTAACCTTCAGACTCTCTCACTGCTGTCTCCTTTACCTTCAGACTCTCTCACTAACCTTCAGACTCTCTCACTACTGTCTCCTTTACCTTCAGACTCTCACTACTGTCTCCTTTACCTTCAGACTCTCTCACTACTGTCTCCTTTACCTTCAGACTCTCTCACTGCTGTCTCCTTTACCTTCAGACTCTCTCACTGCTGTCTCCTTTACCTTCAGACTCTCTCACTAACCTTCAGACTCTCTCACTACTGTCTCCTTTACCTTCAGACTCTCTCACTAACCTTCAGACTCTCTCACTACTGTCTCCTTTACCTTCAGACTCTCACTACTGTCTCCTTTACCTTCAGTCTCTCTCACTGCTGTCTCCTTTACCTTCAGACTCTCTCACTAACCTTCAGACTCTCTCACTACTGTCTCCTTTACCTTCAGACTCTCTCACTACTGTCTCCTTTACCTTCAGACTCTCTCACTGCTGTCTCCTTTACCTTCAGACTCTCTCACTACTGTCTCCTTTACCTTCAGTCTCTCTCACTGCTGTCTCCTTAACCTTCAGACTCTCTCACTGCTGTCTCCTTTACCTTCAGACTCTCTCACTACTGTCTCCTTTACCTTCAGACTCTCTCACTACTGTCTCCTTTACCTTCAGACTCTGTGGTTTGCTTGTACCTGTAGTCCAGCCCTTTCTAGTCATTGGTAGGAGACATTCACTGTGTGTGTGTGTTTGTGTGTGTGTGTGTGTGTGTGCGTGTATGTATGTGTGTGTATGCGTCCACAGACACGGGGAGGTTGCGCCCTCTGCTGGAGGATGTGGTACTGCGCCCAGTTGTCCAGAGACGAGCAGGAGATAGAACTAACATCTAGTGAAGGAGTCATATTTATTTATCTATGTCACTTACACTCGTCATACTCATCTGTCAGTCCTCTCTCTCTCTTTCTACTGTCTCTGTCTTATGCACAGATCTATTATATCTCTGTCTCCTCCTCCTCCTCCTCTCTCCTCCTCCTCAGACCTTGTGTACTTGTATGAATGTCTCTCTTTAGGTCAAATACTTTTATTCCAAGATGAAAATGTGAGTTTGATTTTTCTGCCAAACTCTAGAAAGTGACGACACAGAAAACTCATTTCATTCATTTTATTAAATCCCTGAAACTCGTCCTGGACATGGGACGATAAATGATGTGACACTTTATATAATCAATAATCTATAATTAGTACAGAGCTCATCAGACAAAAGTTACAAAAAGAGCTTCATAAACAAAAAAAACCCAAAACAAGAGAAACATTAAAGCAGAGTTTAGAAGGAAATAAAAACATAAATAATGACATTAAAAAGAGTAAAGACACAATCCTTCAGTTTTAACCTGGATTTGAACATAGAAGAAGAAACCTGTCTCACATTTTCAGGAAGATCAGTCCCTGTGCTCCTCAGAGTACAGGGACTAATGTGATGGTACTTCCTGGTTCTAGTCAGGACTAATGTGATGGTACTTCCTGGTTCTAGTCAGGACTAATGTGATGGCACGGTGGCTGAGTGGATAGCACTCTCGCCTCTCAACAAGAAGGTCCTGGGTTCGAATCCCGGTTGGACCAGGGCCTTTCTGAGTGGAGTTTGCATGTTCTCCCCGTGTCTGCGTAGGTTTCCTCCGGGTGCTCCGGTTTCCCCTACCACTAAAAATATGTACAATAGGTCTGGCATGTGCCTCCTGTACTGGCCCCACTCCCAAAAATAACAATTGTAAACCGCTTTGAGACTCCGATGTGCAGTGAAAAGGCGGTATATATAAATAAAGATTAAATAAAGATTACAAAGATTACTTCCTGGTTCTAGACTAGAATAAACTGCAGCAGAAACAGTTCATTATTAACAATCATTTAAAGAGTTTACTGCAGAAAAAAACATTCACCAGTGATTTATTTGTGTAAATATTCACACAAAAAAAGACCCCGTAACAATGGTTTGATCAAGATAAAACTTAATAATATTATTATAATTATTATCTATTTATTTTAAATGGTCCTGAGTTTGAAGCAGCTCAAAGAGAAAACTTCATGTCTTTATAACTGTAACAGTTCCATCCATCTACCCCTTAATCCATTTCTGGGTCGAGGGGTGGCCCTCACTGACCCTCTGCAGGTGGTGAGTCCACAGGAGGACGGCTGCTCTCTGAGTGTGAGCATAGCCTTGATCTTTCAGTGGGGGCTTTGGGCAAAGTGGGGTTAACAGCAGACATCAGTGGGAGGAGAAGGTGTCGAGGTGGGAATTGAACCCACACCCTTCAGGCGTAAAGGCCAAGGCTCTACCAACTGAGCTACTGTCACCCTACTGTAACATATAAGTTAGTTAATACAGTTATATAACTGTTATAACTGTATCTGTTACTCTTATAACAATTATATATTATAACTGTAATAAAAGACAGATTTGTGAAACACTGAAGTGATTGTCTCGTGAAAGACTGGAATGTCACCTTTAAGTGCGTTTCACTTTGTATCTCCTGCCACCACCAGAGGGTGATCTGTGGGAGTGAACAGGTAGCAGGGTAGCTAACAACCTGGTAGCTAGTACGGAGGTAGGTAGCCAGGTAGTAGCTAAAGCAGCCTGGTAGCTAACACAGCCAGGTAGCTAATGAAGCCGGATAGCTAACGCAGCAATGGCAGAATCAGCAGCAACAAAGTGCTGTGTGCTAGCTCCGAGATTCATTTGAGCGTGTCAGCGCAAGTCTCCGTTTTTCACCATTTTTAACCCGAACCTGTAGGAAACGGTTCAGAGGAGCCAAAATTGGCCTCGCTATGTCTGCTGATATCTATGAATTATAGTTGTTAGCATTAGCATTGGCAGTGCTAGTCGGGGAGTCTCTGGAGCAGCTCCGATGCACAAACACAACAGTCTTTCTACAGCGGTCCCTCACTTTCACTTTTCAGCGAAGGCGAGGGCCGTTCATCCCTGCTTGCGGTTGTTTGTGCATCGGAGCACTTGTGTCAGGGAACATAATTTCAATAATAATCTGAACTCCAGAGACTCCAGGTCAGGGCTTCAAAAAGACCGGACCAACAGATTGTTCCAGACTGAGCTTTATAAAACCAATGTATCATTTTTAAAGCTGGGGTACGTAACTTTCAAACAACAATAGAACTCTCATAAAACACATGTCTCTAGTTCCCGGCTCTAAAACAGCTCTCAGCCAATCAGCTCTCAAAATAAATTTCAAAATTACTTTTCCAGCCCCTCACGGAGCTAATCTCACTGGTAAAGTACCATGTGGAGCTAATCTCACTGGTAAAGTACCATGTGGAGCTAATCTCACTGGTAAAGTACCATGTGGAGCTAATCTCACTGGTAAAGTACCATGTGGAGCTAATCTCACTGGTAAAGTACCATGTGGAGCTAATCTCACTGGTAAAGTACCATGTGGAGCTAATCTCACTGGTAAAGTACCATGTGGCGCAGAACTAAAAAAGGTCTTGTTATGATTCTGAAATCATTGATGACAAAACCAGGATTTCTATCTTTGTGAAAAAGGTGTTGGTTATAGATTTGTTGTTGACTAAACTCTTGTCTATTCAGCTGTTATGGTCCCAGCTGGATTCGTCTGCATATCTGGCAACCTGAGTCAGGGAGAGTGGGAGAGGCTGCAGTACCACTTTTGGACACATTTTTACTTATTGCTTATTTAAGACTCTTTCTGTGAAAACTACATGTGTTATTTATGAGACTAAAGTTACGTACCCCAGCTTTAAAGGTGTGTTATCTAACTCATGTTACTGGTGTCCTCCTGGTGCTCCGGTTTGAATGTGGAAGTTCAAACAGGGGACCAGCTCCGAGCGTCAGACGGTCTCAGTGCGGGGGACGTCACTGAGGGGCACTTTCTCAAACTCTGGAGACGATGAAGACGGAGGAGGTTCGGTGCCACAGACCCGGGACCGGATGCAGGCAGGGGTCCGGGTCTGGATCCAGGGCGGGATTTTCTGGGTCCAGCGCTTGAATTTCGGGCACAGGAACCAAACCGGAAGCAGGACCAAAACCAAGGCCATGGGGACCAGGACAGTGACAGTGACAGGGACAGGGACAGGGACAGGGACAGGGCCACGTTCAGACGAGATCTCTGAGGAGAAAGTCATCAGCATGACACAGGACATTTTGGCTCAGATGAACCGTCTCACCTGGTGCTGGAGTCGGGGAGCTGTGATTGGCTGGAGAAAGTAAAGTATTAATCTCACTCGTGCAGTCGGCCTCAAAGTATCCCTGAAACACAAACATGAGTCAAACCAGTGTTTCTCAACCAGAGGGCCGCGGCACAAGATTAAAAAGAGGTTCGTGTTTATTTCATTTTTCCAAATAAAACTTGTTCATAGTTCTGCAGTTGGGGATGCAGCAGGTGACCACTGCCCCCTGCTGCGGCGACAGGGAACTGCACCGTCTCACAGATTAAAGGTCCCATAATGTTTCAGGGACACAACACTCCTGAAGTTTCTGCAGAGAGGCGCTGTCACTCAAGTGAAACACTGGGATCTGTGAGCCTCCTCCTGTGAGCCTCCTCCTGTGAGCCTCCTCCTGTGAGCCTCCTCCTGTGAGCCTCCTCCTGTGAGCCTCCTCCTGTGAGCCTCCTCCTGTGAGCCTCCTCCTGTGAGCCTCCTCCTGTGAGCCTCCTCCTGTAACTAGTTTCCTGTATCTTTAGCTTTATCTCCAAAGCTAACTGTTCAGCTTTCAATCCAGAATCAAGCAAATGGAGAATTAGCATCACTGTGCTGTGTTCCTTGTTAGCATCTTTTATTTTGAGAACACATTTGAGTGAGTCCAACTGGTTAGCGTTAACTGGTAGCATTAACTGGTAGCATTAACTGGTAGCGTTAACTGGTACTGGTAGCGTTAACCGGTAGCAATAACTGGTAGCGTTAACTGGTAGCGTTAGCATTAGCTGGTTAGCATTAGCTGGTTTGCATTAGCATTAGCTGGTTATCATTAGCTGGTTAGCATTAGCTGGTTAACGTTAGCTGGTTACTCACACTGGAACACCATGCGTTGAACTGGACATGGCCCAAAACTGCCTTCAGGGTCAGACTTTGACGTGTGACGGACAAGACCAAAGAACGATCGAAATCATCCTTTGCAACTATCGCGGTTCCCTGTAGAAGAACAGACATGAGAACCATATGGACACAAGGCAAGGCAAGGCAAGTTTATTTATATAGCACAATTCATACAAAAGGCAATTCAAAGTGCTGAACCAAACAAGAAAGCATTAAAATCATAAATAATCACAGAACATTAAAAAGAAAGATACAAATATAAAATCCCTCAGTTGTATACACAGCTAAACAGAACTGTCTTTAACCTGGTTTTAAACATTGTCAGAGAGGAGGCCTGTCTCACAAGCACTGGTGACTCACATTGAGGAGGAGCCATTGCCTCGCCTCCAGGCAGTCGTCTGGGGGGGCGGGGCTTAGATCGAACCTGACTTTGCCTCCAGGAAGTGTTGTGCAGGAACAGTTGAGATTGGACGCAGCTCGAGAGGCCGACGCCACCATGAGGCCGAGGAGCGCCACTGCAGGAGGAGGAGACACGTTTATAAGGAGAAGGAAAGGTGAGGTCCAGACATACATTGGTCTCTCTCTGGTCTCTCTCTGGTCTCTCTCTTTGCTCTCGCTCTGGTCTCTCTCTTTGCTCTCGCTCTGGTCTCGCTCTGGTCTCTCGCTCTGGTCTTTCACTCTGGTCTCTCGCTCTGGTCTCTCGCTCTGGCCTCTCGCTCTGGTCTCGCTCTGGTCTCGCTCTGGTCTCTCGCTCTGGTATCTCTCTTTGCTCTCTCTCCGGTCTCTCGCTCCGGTCTCTCTCTCTGGTCTCTCTCTCTGGTCTCTCTCTCTGGTCTCTCTCTCTGGTCTCTCTCTCTGGTCTCTCTCTCTGGTCTCTCTCTCTGGTCTCTCTCCCTCTGGTCTATTTTTAATCCTTTTACATTATTTTGTAGAAATATTAAAAAAAATACAACTATTTGAATACAAAAGAGTGATCCTTTCTCATCCCAACAACATTTAAACAAATGCATTTCTAGAGATGAGCACATGTTGCATCAGAATCTGGTTTGGACTGGTTTGGACCGAGTGGAAGTCCCCAAATCTGAGTGCGACATCACAACCTGCGAACTACAGCTGAAATCTCCCTCCTGGTTTTTCTACGAAATATACACTTTATAAACACACAGCTTTGATTTGTAATGAAAACCTACAAACACAAACACACACAGACCACGCACACACACACACACCTGTCCTCTCAGTACTACTAGAATCTTCTACACTTCCTTCAGTTCTCTCTGTTCTCTCTGTTGTGCAGACACTTCAGGTGTGAACAGTTGAAAACAGACTCTTACCTGCGGCGGCGGCGGCGGTGGAGAAGGAGAAGAACATATTTGGTCACGGAGAGAAAGTTTTAATGTGGCGAAAGCAGCGACACTTCTCTCTCTCAGGACAGCTGACGCTCTGATGCAAGAAGCCGCTGCTTATACGCCACCGCTGCAGCTCCTCCTCCTCCTCTTCCTGCATCTGGACATTTTACTTTCACTTTCGAGTCTCTGAGAATTGGCGCAGTAGGAAAGAGAAGATGCGGTATGGATAGACATGGATCTATAAAGGAGAGAGAGACATGGATCTATAAAGGAGAGAGAGACATGGATCTATAAAGGAGAGAGAGAGAGGGTGGGAAAATCCTCCTTTAAACCTTTAACTTAACAACAACAGAACTCTGTAACAAACCCATGTCTCAAGTTTCTGGATCTCAAACTCTTGATTCTATCACTAGCTTTAAAAAAATCAATCCCATTTAAACATTTGACTTGAGCACAGAGACGTCTGTAAAGACTGAACACAGAGACGATCAGCAACAAAATGTTTATTATTGTCCAACTGAAGCAATATTTAGAAAGATAATACATTTCAACTCCAACCACAAAGGAACCCAGAGAACCAGGTGTGGACTTTAGTCACCTGGTCTGGTTCTCTCAGAGAACCAGGTGTGGACTTTAGTCACCTGGTCTGGTTCTCTCAGAGAACCAGGTGTGGACTTTAGTCACCTGGTCTGGTTCTCTCAGAGAACCAGGTGTGGACTTTAGTCACCTGGTCTCTGAATGTAAAGAGCACTAACGTAATGTGGAGCGTAATTTATATTAATCTCATGTGGAAGGATTTGGACTGAGAATAAAAGAAAGAGACAGAGTCAGAATCAGTGTTGTGTCCAGGCTCTGCTCTCTCTCTCTCTCTCTCTCTGCTCTAAGGAGCACAGGGACTGGCCTCCTGTTGGGACTCGGAGGAGCACAGGGACTGGCCTCCTGCTGGGACTCTGAGGAGCACAGGGACTGGCCTCCTGCTGGGACTCTGAGGAGCACAGGGACTGGCCTCCTGCTGGGACTCTGAGGAGCACAGGGACTGGCCTCCTGCTGGGACTCTGAGGAGCACAGGGACTGGCCTCCTGCTGGGACTCTGAGGAGCACAGGGACTGGACTCCTGCTGGTCCCGGAGTCAGGACTAAACATGAGGAGGCAGCATTTCAGACTCAGCTAAAATCTGTAACAGTCTTCCTGAAAGTGTGAGACAGGCTGTGACTGTTCAAATCCACTTCTGTTTTGCTGAAACAACTGAAGGAGTTTATCTTTATTTTGACTGTGATTATTTATGATTAAAATTTACTCTTCGGGCTGAGAGCTGATTAGCTGAGAGAGGGTGGTCCTCTCTTTGTCACTTTTCCATTTGAAAAATCTGATCTAAAAATGTGAGACAGAAATACATGAAAAGTAGAGATAAGCAACTGTTTAGAGCCGGAAACCAGAAACATGGGTTTATTAAAGTTCTTTTGGTCTGAAAGTCACGTATCCGAGCTTTAATATCTAATGTACTTGTGTTAAATTAAAAAATGGAAAACAGAAAGAGAAAAATGTAAATCTTTTGAATAAGAAACTTTCCCACGCGCCCTGAACGCGCCTCTCTCATGACTCATCCTGACGCACCGCACCTGAACGCGGCGCACCGCGACGCACCGCGACACCGACGCTCGTGTCCGCGGGAAAAAAAACACAGAGACACGTTCCGCGCGTCAAACCTAGAGTCATATAAAAAGAACCGTGCAGAAAACTGCTACTGCTGCCGCTTCTGCCGCGTACTGCCTTTCTGCCACTTCTGCCGCTCCTCTGAAAGCTACCGCGTCTGCCGCTCCTTTGACAGCTGCCGCGTCTTGCCGCTCTTCACTGCCCTCCGCTCCACTGACAGCTGCCGCCTTTCACCGACTCCTGCCGCTTGTACAGGGTTTTGCTTTTCCTCATCGCGTCCGACTCTGCCGCTTTGGGCGTTCACCGTGCTGTGAAGGCGTCAGAACCGCGCAATAAAGGTGAGCACACACGCACACACGCACACGCACAGATGTTATTGTGCCGCGTCTGCCACAAACAGCTGTGGATACACTGTGTGAACCTGATGTGAGTGTAATGTTAGGCCCGGGGCGCGTGCACGAGGCTGCGCCCATGGGTGTCAGAGGCGCGCGCCCGTGGGTCCCTCAGCTCCCACTGCCCCCAATGTAAGCGCCCTGTTCCGTTCAAACTGGATGATTGAGCTGCTCACCGCAGGTTCAGAAGCACTGGCCACCTGTGGCGCGTGACCGCCCCCTGTGGATCAAAACCATGGGGCATCTTCAGCTGTTTGTGAGAATGAGGCAGTCACATTAAAGCTGGGGTCCGTAACTTTCCGACCAAGAGAAGTATTAAACCCATGATGAACAGTTTCTTCTTCCTCTGGTTTTCACGTGTTTCTCTCTGTCTCATCTTTAGAGTTTTAGATGTTTATGACACTAAAGTTTTAAACATGCGTGTTCTCTCTGGTCTCTCTCTAATCTCTCTCCCAACTCTTTCTCTCTCAGCCCTCTCTCCAGTCTCTTTCTCTAGTCTCTCTCTCTGGTCTGTCTCTGGTATCTCTCTTTCTAGTCTCTTGCTCTAATCTCTCTCTGGTCACACGCTGGTCTCTCTCAGCTCTCTCTATCACCTCTCTCTCTAGTCTCTCTATCAACACTCTTTCTGGTCTCTGCAGCTCTCTCTCTCAGCTCTCTCTCTCTAGTCTCTCAGCTCTCTCTCTAGTCTCTCTATCAACTCTCTTTCTGGTCTCCCTCAGCTCTCTCTCTATAGTCTCTCTCTAGTCTCTCTCTCAGTCTCAGCTCTCTCTAGTCTCTCTCTGGTCTCTCCCTCAAATCTCTCTAGAGTCTAGACTCACTGTCAACTCTCTTTCTGGTCTCCCTCAGCTCTCTCTCTATAGTCTCTCTCTAGTCTCTCCCTCAGCTCTCTCTCTCTGGTCATGTACAATGAGAGCCTGTCACTTCCGTCCTCCACCAGCAGATGGCGAAGGCGGACCAGCGTTTCGGTCAGCGCGACGGCTCGGACCAGAACTTTGACTACATGTTCAAGCTGCTGATCATCGGGAACAGCAGCGTGGGAAAGACCTCCTTCCTGTTCCGTTACGCAGACGACTCCTTTAGCAACTCCTTCGTCTCCACGGTGGGAATCGACTTCAAGGTGAAGACCGTGTACCGCAACGAGAAGAGGATCAAGCTGCAGATCTGGGTGAATACCTGGTCTCACTCTGGTCTCACTCTGGTCTCTCTCTGGTCTCTCTCTGGTCTCTCTCTGGTCTCACTCTGGTCTCTCTCTGGTCTTGCTGGTCTCACTCTGGTCTCACTCTGGTCTCACTCTGGTCTCACTCTGGTTTCACTCTGGTCTCTCTCTGGTCTTGCTGGTCTCACTCTGGTCTCACTCTGGTCTCACTCTGGTCTCACTCTGGTCTCACTCTGGTTTCACTCTGGTCTCACTCTGGTCTCTCTCTGGTCCCTCTCTCTCTGGTCTCTCTCTGGTCTCACTCTGGTCTCACTCTGGTCTCTCTCTGGTCGCCCTCGGGTCTCCCTCTGGTCTCTCTCTGGTCTCTCTCTGGTCTCTCTCGGGTCTCCCTCTGGTCTCCCTCCCGTCTCTCTCTGGTCTCTCTGGTCTCTCTGGTCTCACTCTGGTCTCTCTCTGGTGTCTCTTTGGTCTCTCTGGTCTCTTTCTGGTTTCATTCAGGTCTCTCTCTGGTATCTCTGCTCTCTTTCTGGCCTCTTTCTGGTTTCTCTCTGGTCTCTCTCTGGTCTCCCGCTGGTCTTCCTCTGGTCTCCCTCTGGTCTCCCTCTGGTCTCCCTCTGGTCTCTCTCTGTTCTCTCTCTCACAAAAACACAGAACAGTGAAACTCTGGACAGTCCCCTGTCCTGCGCTGTGATTGGCCGGTCCCTCCTTCTGTGCGTCTCCGGGGAAACCGCAGGCGAGCAGCTGTTGTCATGGAAACGGCATAGCAGCTCAGACACAATGGGTTTAGACCTGGTTTTAGAGTTTTAGGGACCTAAAAGTTGTTTAAAGTTGGGGTAAGTTGGGGTACCTGACTTCACTGGATGTCTCTCTCTCTGGTCTCTCTCTCTCTCTCTCTCTCGTTTCTCCCTCTTTGTTAGTTATGAGACTAAATTTACGTCCCTGAGCTTTAAACGTGTGTTGTGTGTGTCGCCCCCTGCAGGACACGGCGGGGCAGGAGCGGTACCGCACCATCACCACGGCTTATTACCGCGGCGCCATGGGCTTCATCCTCATGTATGACATCACCAACGAGGAGTCCTTCAACGCCGTGCAAGACTGGTGAGTGCAGGGAGCTCGGACTGCAGCCGCTGCTCCTCCACAGGCAGGACTGGTGAGTGCTGAGAGCTCGGACTGCAGCCGCTGCTCCTCCACAGGCAGGACTGGTGAGTGCGGGGAGCTCGGACTGCAGCCGCTGCTCCTCCACAGGCAGGACTGGTGAGTGCGGGGAGCTCGGACTACAGCCGCTGCTCCTCCACAGGCAGGACTGGTGAGTGCGGGGAGCTTGGACTGCAGCCGCTGCTCCTCCACAGGCAGGAGTGCGGGGAGCTCGGACTAGAGAGAGAAAGACCAGAGAGCGACCAGTCAGTGCAGGGAGCTTGCACTGCAGCCGCTGCTCCCTCAGGTGGTATTGAAGCTGAATATAAAGGAGCTCGGTCTGCAGACGCTGCTCCCTCAGGTGGTATTGAAGCCAAATATAGAGGAGCTCAGACTGCAGCTATTGCTTCTCCACAGGTAAGACTGGTGAGTGTAGGGAGCTCTGACTCGTTCTCTCTGTGTGTGAGTAGGTTCCCTCCAGGCGCTCCGGTTACAGAGTGTTCTGTGTTGTGTGTTCAGGGCGACCCAGATCAAGACCTACTCCTGGGACAACGCTCAGGTCATTCTGGTCGGAAACAAATGTGACGTGGACGAGGAGCGAGTGGTTCCTCTGGAGAAGGGGAAGCACCTGGCGGACCAGCTGGGTACGAGTCCAAGTCCCAGTCCCAGTCCGAGTCTGAGCTGCACACACAGTGGTCTCTCAATTAGAAAGGTGGTGTGTGAGAGGCCAGAGAGAGACCAGAGAGAGACCAGAGAGAGACCAGAGAGAGACCACAGAGAGACCAGAGAGAGACCAGAGAGAGACCAGAGAGAGACCAGAGAGAGACCAGAGAGAGACCAGAGAGAGACCAGAGAGAGACCAGAGAGAGACCAGAGAGAGACCAGAGAGAGATCAGAGAGACCAGAGAGAGATCAGAGAGAGACCAGAGAGAACAGAGAGAGACCAGAGAGAGACCAGAGAGAGACCAGAGAGAGATCAGAGAGACCAGAGAGAGATCAGAGAGAGACCAGAGAGAACCAGAGAGAGACCAAAGAGAGACCAGAGAGAGACCAGAGAGAGACCAGAGAGAGACCAGAGAGAGACCAGAGAGAGACCAGAGAGAGACCAGAGAGAGACCAGAGAGAGACCAGAGAGAGACCAGAGAGAGACCAGAGAGAGACCAGAGAGAGACCAGAGAGACCAGAGAGACCAGAGAGACTAGAGAGAGACCAGAGAGACCAGAGAGAGATCAGAGAGAGACCAGAGACAGATCGTTCAAGGCCGTTGCCCTTCGCCTGTGGAATGAGCTGCCCCTGTCCCTGCGTGTCCTGGAGTCTGTGGATATCTTCAAGAGTCAGCTCAAGACGCACTTATAGAACCTTTCAACATTTCGCCACATTTCAGGTTTCAAACATAAAGATATAAAAATCAAATTTTTTGTCAAGAATCAACAACAAGTGGGACACAATCGTGAAGTGGAACAAAATGTATTGGATAATTTAAACTTTTTTAAAGGTCCTATATCACGCTTTTCTTCATGTTTCACACTCAGTCCTCTCACATGTGTGATATTAATGTGTATGATACACCACACAACAATCAAAGCTTGTGAGATTAGAGCCATCTCTTGTATAGAGGTGACGTCACCTCGACTCAAACGAGCTGATCCTCTGCCTGTGAGCCCGCCTCCCCCCGCCCGCACGCTGACGTAGCATTACGCTTTTGTTGTTTATCACCTGTACTTAGTATAATTTCATACATAAGAATAAACTTTCCAACAATGACAATCCGTCACATGGAGCCCTATGTCCTCGATGCACAATCAGACCCTAGTTATTTAGTTTACAGAAGTATACAGCGAGTTAGCGTCACTACTTACAGATCGAGGGGGTCCGAGTTACGTCTTTTACCGTGGGAATAACATGTTTCCAGATCAGCCTTTGAGTAAGTCCAGTTCCATTGTCCCTGTAGTTCTGGAACAGTCTCAGTGAAGTGTCGCAGATGAACCGGTATTATAATAGATCCATGAGATGAACAGATGAAAAAAGTCGAGCCGCTTTCTTCCTCTTAGGGCCAAATAGTGCGTCACATATTTACACCCATAACACACTTCATTCAAGTTGACGTGATCCTAACACTTTTAGTTGCTGACAAAAGCATAAAAACAGCAGCTCTATGTGGTGTCCGCGAGACCAGACCACAGACGCTGGACTCGGGAGCCGGAGCCTGTGCGCTCTGATTCGCTGTTTTGATCCGTCAATCACCTCCCGCCGGCTTTTAATTTATTTTTATTTGTATTATTTTTGACAAAAAACGGCATACTAATTCGTTCGTCATGCGCGTCATCAGTGTGGTTTTCGTCACTGAAGTGGACCCGAGCGTTTCTGTGCCTCACGCTGGGGAAGGAGACAGATTGTTCTCTTACAAAAGATTGACAGAATCAATGAATAAACTACTGTGGGCTTGTGTATGAAGGCCAAATAGCATTGTAATCATGTTTAAAGCAGAGAAAAGTCAAAAACCGTGATATGGGCCCTTTAACAAATAAAAAACTGAAAAGTGGGGCGTGCAATATTATTCGGCCCCTTGCGCTAATACTTTGTAGCGCCACCTTTTGCTGCAATTACAGCTGCAAGTCGCTTGGGGTATGTCTCTATCAGTTTTGCACATTGAGAGACTGGAATTCTTGCCCATTCTTCCTTGCAAAACAGCTGGAGCTCAGTGAGGTTGGATGGAGAGCGTTTGTGAACAGCAGTCTTCAGCTCTTTCCACAGATTCTGGATTGGATTCAGGTCTGGACTTTGACTTGGCCATTCTAACACCTGGATACGTCTATTTGTGAACCATTCCATTGTAGATTTGGCTTTATGTTTTGGATCATTGTCCTGTTGGAAGATAAATCTCCGTCCCAGTCTCAGGTCTTTTGCAGACTCCAACAGGTTTTCTTCCAGAATGGTCCTGTATTTGGCTCCATCAATTTTAGCCATCTTCCCTGTCCCTGCTGAAGAAAAGCAGGCCCAAAGCATGATGCTGCCACCACCATGTTTGACAGTGGGGATGGTGTGTTCAGGGTGATGAGCTGTGTTGCTTTTACGCCAAACATATCGTTTTGAATTGTGGCCAAAAAGTTTGACTTTGGTTTCATCTGACCAGAGCACCTTCTTCCACATGTTTGGTGTGTCTCCCAGGTGGCTTGTGGCAAACTTTAAACGAGACTTTTTATGGATATCTTTGAGAAATGGCTTTCTTCTTGCCACTCTTCCATAAAAGCCAGATTTGTGCAGTGCACGACTGATTGTTGTCCTATGGACAGACTCTCCCACCTCAGCTGTAGTTATCTGCAGTTCATCCAGAGTGATCATGGGCCTCTTGTCTGCATCTCTGATCAGTCTTCTCCTTGTTTGAGATGAAAGTTTGGAGGGACGGCCGGGTCTTGGTAGATTTGCAGTGGTCTGATACTCCTTCCATTTCAATATAATTGCTTGCACAGTGCTCCTTGAGATGTTTAAAGCTTGGGAAATCTTTTTGTATCCAAATCCGGCTTTAAACTTCTCCACAACAGTATCTCGGACCTGCCTGGTGTGTTCCTTTGTCTTCATGGTTCTCTCTGTGCTTTAAACAGAACCCTGAGACTATCAAAGAGCAGGTGCATTTATACGGAGACTTGATTACACACAGGTGCATTCTATTTATCATCATCAGTCATTTAGGACAGTGGTTCCCAAAGTGGGGGTCCCGACAACCCCCGGGGGGTCGCGGGAACCCCTGGGGGGGTCGCATGATGATTTCTACACAAACAAAAAAAAAAGATTTTTTTTTTTGAGCAAATATAAAGCCCTTAAATATTTATTTAGCATTTGATTTGATTCAAAAGGACTACTTGTTAAATTGTGTTTGGAGACTATAATATATTTTAATAACGTTAGTAATTTTGTCCCAGTCATTGCAGCGTCAATCAAAATCATCACGTAACACAGCTCACATCATGCGCAGCGACAAAGCGTGTCCTGCTGTTGTTTGCTAAAACTAAAGGTGTTTGGAGGCTACAAATAAATAATACCTGCTTTAAAATGAAACGTGGTTAATATCCACAACAGAAAAACCCGGAGGGGGAGAAAAGTCACTTGTATCAGGGGTCAGGCTGATGGTGCGAAGAGAGAGAGAGAGGGCAAAGGAGGGAGAGAGGGCAGAGGAGGGAGAGAGGGCAGAGGAGGGAGAGAGGGCAGAGGAGGGAGAGAGGGCAGAGGAGGGAGAGAGGGCAGAGGAGGGAGAGAGGGCAGCGGAGGGAGAGAGGGCAGAGGAGGGAGAGAGGGCAGAGGAGGGAGAGAGGGCAGAGGAGGGAGAGAGGGCAGCGGAGGGAGGGAGGGCAGAGGAGGGAGAGAGGGCAGAGGAGGGAGAGAGGGCAGAGGAGGGAGAGAGGGAGAGAGGGTCGCGGGTTAGCAGGGCATTTATGATGGGGGTCGCGGGCTAAAAACTTTGGGAACCCCTGATTTAGGACAACATTGGATCATTCAAAGATCCTCACTGAACTTCTGGACTGAGTTTGCTGCACTGAAAGTAAAGGGGCCGAATAATATTGCACAAAAATTAAAATTTTATATCTTTTTGTTTGAAGCCTGAAATGTGGCAAAATGTTGAAAGGTTCAAGGGGGACGAATACTTTCGCAAGGCACTCTTTGCTCTGTATGCTCTATATGTATGTATTGATCTTGCTTTTAATGTGAAGCGCTTTGTGACCCTGGTCTGAGAAAGGCGCTATATAAATACATTTTACTTACTTACTAGACCAGAGAGAGACCAGAGAGAGACCAGAGAGAGACCAGAGAGAGACCAGAGAGAGACCAGAGAGAGACCAGAGAGAGACCAGAGAGAGACCAGAGAGAGACCAGAGAGAGACCAGAGAGAGACCAGAGAGAGACCAGAGAGAGACCAGAGAGAGACCAGAGAGAGACTAAAGAGAGAAACCAGAGAGAGACCAGAGAGAGACCAGAGAGAGACCAGAGAGAGACCAGAGAGAGAGACCAGAGAGAGACCAGAGAGAGAGACCAGAGAGAGAGACCAGAGAGAGACCAGAGAGAGACAGCAGTAGTGTAATGGCCCCTCTCTTGCGCCCCCTGCAGGATTCGAGTATTACGAGGCGAGTGCGAAGGAGAACATAAACGTGCGTCAGGTGTTTGAGCGTCTGGTCGACATCATCTGTGTGAAGATGTCCGAGCGCGTGGACGTAGAAGCCCCCGTTGCCGCGGCAACCAAGACCACGCGGCTCACGGACAAGCCCGCCCAGCTGCCCCAGAAGTGCTGCTGAACCTGGCAACCCCGGGCACCTGGCAACACACACGCGGAGAGAGAGACACACACACAGACACATAGACACAGAGACACACACACACACACACACACAGACACAGAGACACACACACACACATAGAGACCTGGCAACACACACACACACAGAGAGACACACACACACAGAGACCTGGCAACACACACACAGAGAGACACACACACACAGAGACCTGGCAACACACACACGCAGAGAGAGAGAGAGACACACACACACACAGAGACCTGGCAACACGCAGAGAGAGAGACACACACACAGAGACCTGGCAACACACACACGCAGAGAGAGAGAGAGAGACACACACACACAGAGACCTGGCAACACACACACAGAGAGACACACACACACAGAGACCTGGCAACACACACACGCAGAGAGAGAGAGAGAGACACACACACAGAGACCTGGCAACACACACACGCAGAGAGAGAGAGAGAGACACACACAGAGAGACAGACACACAGAGACAGACACACATTCTTTAGCAGACCGTTGTGAGATAGAGACCTTTAATCTCACAATCGTCTCGTTCAGAAAAACAGAAGTCTCTAAAATCTCGGCGTTTGGTCCTGATGGAAATGTTCTCGTTTTGTTTCCATTTATTTAAAACGTGATGAAAAAGTGATTTATCCTGATCCCGAAATATAAAAGAAATAACCTTCAGTCCAAACTTTGTGCCATGTTCACACACACAGAGCTGTACAGGAGCTGGAGGAGGTGGGGAGGAGGAGGTGTAGAGGGAGGTGTGGAGGAGGAGGTGTAGAGGGAGGTGTGGAGGAGGAGGTGTAGAGGGAGGTGTGGAGGAGGAGGTGTAGAGGGAGGTGTAGAGGGAGGTGTGGAGGAGGAGGTGTAGAGGGAGGTGTGGAGGAGGAGGTGTAGAGGGAGGTGTGGAGGAGGAGGTGTGGAGGGAGGTGTGGAGGAGGAGGTGTGGAGGAGGATGTGTAGAGGGAGGTGTGGAGGAGGATGTGTAGAGGGAGGTGTGGAGGGAGGTGTAGAGGGAGGTGTGGAGGGAGGTGTGGAGGAGGAGGTGTGGAGGAGGAGGTGTAGAGGGAGGTGTAGAGGAGGATGTGGGGAGGAGGAGGTGTGGAGGAGGAGGTGTAGAGGGAGGTGTAGAGGAGGATGTGGGGAGGAGGAGGTGTGGAGGAGGAGGTGTAGAGGAGGAGGTGTAGAGGGAGGTGTAGAGGAGGATGTGGGGAGGAGGAGGTGTAGAGGGAGGTGTGGAGGAGGATGTGGGGAGGAGGAGGTGTGGAGGAGGAGGTGTAGAGGGAGGTGTAGAGGAGGATGTGGGGAGGAGGAGGTGTGGAGGAGGAGGTGTAGAGGGAGGTGTAGAGGAGGATGTGGGGAGGAGGAGGTGTAGAGGGAGGTGTGGAGGAGGAGGTGCCAATGGAGTGGCAGACTGGCGCGGTGGTCCCTCTCTACCAGAAGGAGACCGTAGGGTGTGTTCTAACTGTAGTGTGATCACTGTCCTCAGGCCTGGTCAGGTCTGGTCAGGTCTGGTCAGGTCTGGTCAGGTCTGGTCAGGTCTGGTCAGGTCTTAGGTCTGAGGTCTAAGTCCTGGAGGAGACTTCCACCGATGGTCGAGTCTCGAATCCAGAAGGAGCAGTGTGGTTTTGGTTCTATTCCTGGCAAACTGGACCAGGTTTATACTCTCTATCTCGAGGATCATGGGAGTTTGCCTCAGCCTCATGTGCTTTGTGGATTTGGAGACCGTCGGGTCCCTGAGGTCCCTGAGACCGTCGGGTCCCTGAGGTCCCTGAGACCGTCCGGTCCTGAGACCGGAGCCAGAGCTGCGTTCAGCGACACAGTCTTTATGGACTGATTCCATAAAGTTGAAGTGTCTCAGGTCTTGTTCTCAGTGAAGACGGAGGAGGTGCAGCGCGCAGTGATGCAGTCGCTGTATCGGACCGTTGTGGTGAAGAGGGAGCAGCGTCTACAGTCAGAGCTCTCAATATACAGATCTTCATTCCCTCCCTCACGTTGAGGTTTGGGTAGTGACTGAAAGGAAAAGGTCAGTTGAAATGAGCTGCTCCCTCAGAGAAACAGTGAGGAGCTCGGAGTAGAGCCGCCCCTCCACGTCCTTATATGGCTCTGTGGTGTTTCCGTATCGTTGCCAAAAGACAAAGCACAAACTGAAGTTTGTCCCGTTTCATGTGAATGTGTCGAGCTATATCCAAGAGTGTCTATTTATGTATTTATTTATTTATTTACTCAGAGGCTGTTTTCCCGCGGTCGCACCGGGTGAAGCAGAGAGCGCTTAAGTGTGTGATCAATCCTCAAAAACATTTTATTTTGTATCAATATTTGAAGAAAAAAATAAAAATGTGTTTCTGAATATGTGTAACCAACGGTAACGTGTTGAACCGGTCTCGGTTTTGTGAAGAGACATTTACATAGCTGCAGAACGTCACTGTTTTAAAGCTAGGGTCCGTAACTTTAGCCTCAACCATAGCACGTGTTTAAAGCTGGGGTCCGTAACTTTAGCTTCAACCATATCACGTGTTTAAAGCTGGGGTCCGTAACTTTAGCCTCAACCATAGCACGTGTTTAAAGCTGGGGTCCGTAACTTTAGCCTCAACCATAGCACGTGTTTAAAGCTGGGGTCCGTAACTTTAGCCTCAACCATAGCACGTGTTTAAAGCTGGGGTCTGTAACTTTAGAGAGAGGGGTTTATTAGAGTTCTATGATGGGCTCTGAAAGTTACGTACCCGAGCTTTAGCCTTTGACCTGAGCACAGAACTGCCCTCGCATCACGACCTTTGACCTGAGCACAGAACTGCCCTCGCATCACGACCTTTGACCTGAGCACAAAACTGCCCCCCCCCCCCTCCCCCTTACTGCCTCCCCCTTTGCCAACCATCTCCCCCCAACTGCCCCCTGTGGTGTTGTATGCCGTGACTTTGGGACGATGTGTGCGACTGTGTCCCTCACCCCTTACTCCCCCTGTCTCCTCCCCTCACCCTCCTGTCTCCCCTCTCACCCCTGTCTCCTCCCCTCACCCTCCTGTCTCCCCTCTCACCCCTGTCTCCTACCCTCACCTCTTACTCCCCAAGTCTCACTCCTGTCTTCTCTCTCCCTACACCCTTGTAGCTCCTGTCTCCCTCCTCACCCCTGTCTCTCCCCACATCCCTTTCACTCCTCTTTCCCCTGACTCCTCCCCTAACCCCTGTCTCCCTCCCCAAGTCTCATCCCCCCTGTCTCTCCCCATACCTCCTGTCTCCTCTCCTCCCCCTCCTGTCTCCCCTCTCACCCCTGTCTCTCCCCACACCCCTGCCTCCCCCCTGGACCTGTGTGTGTGTGTGTGTGTGTGTGTGTGTGTGTGTGTGTGTGTGTGTCGCATCGCCCTCCCCCTCAGTGAGCTGTGTTATAAATAGCGGTAGAATGTGGTTCTTTTGACGCTGTGATAAAAGCAGATTATGGTGTAGAGTTTTTCTGTCGTTTCCTGAGAAATCGGGACAAAAGCACAAAACCGTGATTGTACAAATATTGTGAATGTTTGTATATTATAGATGCAATTTAGTACGAAATAAAACTTGAATCAGAACTGTTTCCGTGTGTGTGATTTTGCAGATTATCTACAACATAGTCAAGTTACCATGTTTGAAAACATGGTAATTTGACTACTTTTTCCCCACAGCATTTGTAAAATTACGTCTGGAGAAAAATCGTTACTGCATCTTTTATTGAACTTTTCTGCATCTGTATCTAGTGCAACACAGTTAAATAATAGTCATACAATATAGTTCCCTCCTTTCTTGCTATGTATCTGTCATATCTTTTCATTTTTCAGACAGAAAATTGAGAAATAGTAACGACAAGTTGTTTATGGGGAAAAATCTAGGATTTAACAGTTTGAGAAAAAGGATGAAACAATCAGCAGAAATCCCGCTGTCATTTCCATCTTGGCACAAACTATTTTCTCTTAATTATATATAGAAATAAAAACGTTTTATTCATTTATGCATTCCCGCAGGTACCGCTGTTTTATCCAATCAGAGCTCGCAATGTTTGAATGACGCGCGTTCTGTCCAATCACACGCTTTGTTTTGGCCCGCGCCGCTGAGCTAATGAGCTAATGCTAATCCTCGACTAAAGACCCAAACGGCATTCGCAGATTTCTGACGCATTTAACCCGGAGAAGAGGCTCTAGTCTGTGGGTAAGGACTTCTCCCCACGCCCTGGAGCCTCCACGGGCGCTGACACTCACTACAGCTGCAGTTTGTAACCGTTTTTCAGCTGAAAGTGGGAGGTTTGTACCAGTCAAAATGGTTGCGTTCGAAATCGTAAAACATGGATCCTTTCTGATACTATATTAAAATTTAAATGGACCCTTTCTAAGAGTGAACAGCTCTTGCATTAACATTAGTCTTGCAAAAACTGTAGGAAAAATTATCTTTTTATTCGGTCAAAGTTTAGGATAGAAACTTAGGAAGAAAGGAGGAAAGAGAAGAAGCTGTTTTATCTGAATTTGGAAGCAACTCAAGGCTCGTTTTCTGCATAATTAAAATTTTAATGAACATAAAAGGAATTAAATCAACGATGTTAATGTAATTCAAGTGTAATCTGTTTAATTTTGTGTCATTAATAATTATATATTTCATAGTGATACTATACTGATGTTAAAGTAGTGTCGTTCTCGTTTTTCCTCCCGTGCGTTTCCATGGCAACCGGGGACCGCTCGCCGTTTAAAGCTGGGGTCCGTAACTTTAGTCTGGTCAATAACACATGTTTAAAAGAGGGAGTCTCTGAAAGTAAGATGTTCAGACCACAACATGCTGTCTTCCTCTGTTGTATGAGAAAGAGCCCTGTGAGTCACTATTTGACTCTCTAGGCTGAACGCTGATTGGCTGACTTTTCTGTTTGAAAATATAAAAAAATACATGATGTGAAAAGTAGTGTTTAATCTCATACTTCACTTCTCTATAGAAATGGATCAGCACACACCGGAGCCGGGGCCAGACCCGGAGAAAGGAGACCCACACATCATCAAATCCCCCAGTGATCCAAAGGAGTACAGGTTTGTCCATCAGAGACCAGCTGGTCCTGTTAGGTCCTGGTCAGGTCTAAAGGATTCTCTGGTTCTGTTGGGTCCTGATCAGGTCTAAAGGACTCTCTGGTCCTGTTAGGTCCTGGTCAGGTCTAAAGGATTCTCTGGTCCTGTTGGGTCCTGATCAGGTCTAAAGGACTCTGGTCCTGGTGGGTCCTGGTCAGGTCTGAAGGACTCTCTGGTCCTGGCAGGTCCTGGTCAGGTCTAAAGGACTCTCTGGTCCTGGCAGGTCCTGGTCAGGTCTGAAGGACTCTCTGGTTCCACAGATTCCTGGAGCTTCCCAACGGCCTCAGGGTTCTGCTGATCTCTGCCTGCAACTTGAGGTCCTCAGAGGAAGTGTCTGGGGAGGGGGAGAGTGAGGTGTCTGGGGAGGGGGAAACCTGCGAGGACTCACAGAGTGCAGAGAAGGAGGTGAGTTCATCAGAGACGACAGAAAGCAGACAAACTATAAGACCACAATGACCCATAACGAGGAGAAACAGACAGAACAGAGTCAGAACTATAGCACCAGAGTGAGGTCTTGCTCAGGTCTTGTTCAGGTCTTGTTCAGGTCTTGCTCAGGTCTTGCTCAGGTCTTGCTCAGGTCTTCGGTGTGAGGTGTTCTAGGAGAGGCACTGCTGGGGGACCTGCAGGAGGTGGAGGACCAGGCTGAGCAGGTCTTTAGTCCAGATGTGGAGCAGCGTCTGCAGATGTTTGGACAGAGTAGAGAAAGACCACAGTCTATCTTTGGACTCAGTCTGTGAGTTTGACACGGTGAGTCAGGGAGGGACAGAGCCAGGACAAAACATCCACTGATGGCCAGCTGTAGACCCGGACTGTGAGCAGTTCTGGACCAGGTCTGGAGCAGGTCTGGACAGGGTCTGGAGCAGGCGTGACTGGGGTCTCGTTCCAGGCGGCTGCTGCTCTCTGTGTGGCCGTGGGGAGTTTCAGTGAGCCTGATGACCTCCCTGGACTCGCCCACTTCCTGGAGCACAGTGAGTCTGCAGAATGTCTACTTTATTTATATAGCACATTTAAGTGTTAAAGTTCCTGGACTTTAAAATGTCTTAACTCAAAAACTAAAATTGCTATCATTGAATGGAAACATATTTCAACCACAGACAGATCAAAGAGACAGTGTGGATGAAAACAAAAGGACAGAGTGATAGATGTTGAAGGAGCAGATGAGACCTGATTGGATCGTTCTGTGACTCAGAGAAATGTCCTGAGTCTGAAAAAGATGAACTTCACAGATTCACAAAAACATCAGGAAATCACTGATTTTAACAAAGAATCATCAACAAAATAAATCAATTCAATGTAGTGTTGTATAGTCCTAAATCACAACAGTAGTTATCATGGAGGATGTCACAAAGCTGGTCTCTCCCTTTTCTCTCCCTGGTCTCTCTCTGGCCTCTCTCTGGTTTCTCCCTGGTCTCTCTCTGGCCTCTCTCTGGTTTCTCTCTGGTCTCTCTCTCTCTCTAGTCTCTCTCTGGTCTCTCTCTGGTCTCTCTCTGGTCTCTCTCTGGTCTCTCTCTTTAGTCTCTCTCTGGTCTCTCTCTGGTCTCTCTCTGGTCTCTCTCTGGTCTCTCTCTGGTCTCTCTCTTTAGTCTCTCTCTGGTCTCTCTCTGGTCTCTCTCTGGTCTCTCTCTGGTCTCTCTCTGGTCTCTCTCTTGTCTCTCTCTGGTCTCTCTCTGGTCTCTCTCTTTAGTCTCTCTCTGGTCTCTCTCTGGTCTCTCTCTGGTCTCTCTCTGGTCTCTCTCTGGTCTCTCTCTGGTCTCTCCCTGGTCTCTCTCTTTAGTCTCTCTCTGGTCTCTCTCTGGTCTAAGAAATCACTTAACAACAGCTGCCCAAAGTCACAGGCCCAAAAGAAAAGAAAACACAATCAAACACACACAAAACAGTAGAACTGAGTTGGTGTGAAAACCCGAGGCACAGACTATCTTTGGACTAGACTTAAAAACCTGCAGTCACTATTCCACAGTCCCACAGCAGAAGTATATATTTACTTTATTACTTTGTGTAGTGCCCATTTGTCATGCTAAAGATAGAGATTGTGTGTTGTTGTGATTGTGTTGCAGTGGTGTTCATGGGCAGTGAGAAATACCCAGAGGAAAATGGGTTCTCCTCTTTCCTGGAAAGTCACGGAGGAAGTGGCAACGCATTCACCGAGGAAGAGCGGACCGTGTTTCACTTCGACATCGAAAAACACCATTTTAGATCTGCTCTGGACCGGTGAGGACTCGGACCAGGGACCAGAGACCAGAGACCAGAGAGAGCACTCTCTCTGGTCTCTCTCTGGGCTCTCTCTGGTCTCTGATCTCTGGTCTCTCTCTAGTCTCTGGTCTCGCTCTGGTCTCTGGTTTCTCTCTGATCTCTCTCTGGTCTCTCTCTAGTCTCTGGTCAAACCCTGGTCTCTCTGGTGTCCCTCTCTGGTCTCGCTCTGGTCCCTGGTCTCTCTCTGGTCTTTGGTCCCTGGTCTCTGGTCTCTCTCTAGTCTTTCTCTGGTCTCTGGTCTCGCTCTGGTCCCTGGTCTCACTCTGATCTTGCTGGTCTCTCTGGTCTCTCTGGTCTCTCTCTGGTCTCTCTGGTCTCTGTCTCTGGTCTCTGGTCCCTGGTCTCGCTCTGGTCTCTCTCTGGTGTCGCTCTGGTCTCTGGTCTCTGGTCTCTGGTCTCTGGTACCTGGTCTCGCTCTGATCTTGCTGGTCTCTCTGGTCTCTCTGGTCTCTCTCTGGTCTCTCTGGTCTCTGGTCTCTGGTCTCTGGTCTCTGGTCTCTGGTACCTGGTCTCGCTCTGATCCCCTTCCTCTTCAGGTGGGCTCAGTTCTTCATCTC